TTCTAGATTGCATGCTGGTTGAATATCCTCTATGTTCTTGGCTAGTCTAGTGCGATAGGATTGTCTTATTAGCACATTTTCTAATTGACTCACGTCGACTCTATAGTTTTGGTGTGTTTGGTTTTGCATTTTTTTGAGTCGAAGTTTGATATTACATAGCACTAGTGAGTGATCTGAGCTGATGTCTGCACTCTGAAATGTTCTGCAATTGATGACGGATGATTTCCACCTTTGTTGTATGAGAACCATGCCAATCATGTTTTTATGCACACCATCAGGTGATGCCCAAGTCCACTTGCGACTGGGCTTTTGTTGAAATCTCGTGTTACAAATGTAGAGATTGTGTGCTCTTGCGAACTCTAGGAGGCGTTCTCCGCGTTCGTTTCTGTCACCATATCCGTGTTTTCCCATGACGGGTTTCCAATCTGTATTATCGCTGCCAACTTTTGCGTTCCAGTCGCCGGTTAGGATGACTATGCCCTTTTTGTGTGCCTTTGCTAGTACATCCTCGATATTGTTGTAGAACGCTTCGATATCCTCTGCTGGCGATGAGGAAGTTGATGCATATACATGTATTACTGTGACATTAAATGGTGATGCACTGAATCTTGCCGTAATTATTCGTGAGCTGATAGGATTGTGACCTATTAGTGCCTTTTTAGCTTGGGTGCTTAGTAGCAATCCCACACCTCTCATGTGTGTGACATCTTCTCCTGACCAGATGAAATCTCCATTTGATGTTTCGCCTTTTCCTGTCCAACGTACTTCGGAGATACCAATGATGTCATATCTGAAACGTTTCATTTCATTTCTAAGCAGCTCTAGTTTTCCGGCTGCCCACAGTGTTTGTACGTTCCAGGTTCCAATAGTCAGAGTGTTTCTGATTAGTTTCATTTTATGTACGCTTTTTGTCGTACAGCTGATGTTTGAGGTCTTTCCAGTAGCCAATTTTTCGACTCTGCCCTGGTTACTCGGCAGAGGACGCGAACCTTGTTTACCCGGGCGACGTCCGAGCCGGTATGGTTTTGTACTGTGACCGTTCATGGTTGGTTTCTATCGTCTTTGTCTTTTTACAGACGGCGGTATCTGCACCCCTTCCGTCCAACGCTCCTCCTTTTTCCGGACTTGCGACCGGCACAGAAATCGCAGGATTGCGACCTCCATGGTGGAGTTCTTTTATGATACATATTATTAATTAATAGATCAGTTGTCTAATATGATTTTGTTTTTATATTATAGAGAACCTTTAGCTCTATATGCAGTAGAATTTTGATAACTGCTGATGCAACTGTAGATGAAATACAGAAACATAATATAGCATAGAGGTCAATAATTGTTGAAAGTGATCCTAACTCTTGAGCATTAGTTTTTTCCCTAAAACTAGAAATGTCCAAGATTTGATTGATTGATCTAATATCCTCACATGAGTCCCAACGAAAAAATATTTAAAAGAAAAAAAAACTAGCGGGGGGGG